TTGTCCTGCTAGTGGGCAGGCCCCAAGAAAATTCCAATATCTGTTCAATTTTCATTGGAGTTTCTTATCTAGCCTGTGGAGCTCAGGAGCTTCAGTAGGAATAAGTGCCTATGTTGTGACTGGTGGGAAACTGGCAATTAGGCAAAGTAGGACCAGCATTCACAGAGATTTTATTTTCACTGTTAGGGCTTCTGTGGCTGTGCCCTGTGAGCTGGAGGAGGTGGGGGCAAACCAGAGGCTCCATTCCTCTCACTCCTGCTTTAATCTGAGCAACTTTGCTTCTAGTTATTTCCTTTGTTGGACTTCCAAATAAGAATTTGTTTGACAAAAGAGTTACTTTGAATTCACATAATAGACAACCAGGTTCTGCTATTGAAATTTGTTGCTTTAACTCTAACTTTTTAGTCATTGTTTTTTTATTTCTTATGTAAGAACAGAGTATAAATTATGTAAGAACAGAGTATAAATTAATTTTTGCAGCTATTGTATTTCCAGTGCTGCTTGAATGTTTTAGGCTTCCAGGTGTGAGGAACAGAAACAGAAACATGCTCGTATAACCTTGAGCAGTATGGGTATGGTAAGGATATAGAGGGAGGAAAGGAGTCTCATAAACTAACTCATTTGGCCTTATGGAACTGCAATTTCAGGATATAGTGGCCCTAGAATCCCAACAGCACTCTAATATTTGTGCTTTCTCACTGGCATTTGTTTCCAGTCCATCTACCCTCCCCTTCATTCCTTTAACTCAGCTCCCGCCTCCCTTTCCCCATCCCTCTCCCTCTCCCTCATGGTTCCCACTGCTTCCTTATGCTTCCTCTTTTTTAAAAAAATTTATTTATTTTTGGCTGTGTTGGGTCTTTGTTGCTGCATGCGGGCTCTCTCTAGTTGCGGAGAGTAGGGGCTACTCTTTGTTGCGGTGCGTGGGCTTTTCATTGTGGTGGCTTCTCTTGTTGCAGAGCACGGGCTCTAGGTGCATGGGCTTCAGTAGTTACGGCATGCAGGCTCAGTAGCTGTGGCTCGCAGGCTGTAGAGCGCAGGCTCAGTAGTTGTGGTGCACGGGCTTAGTTGCTCCGCGGCACGTGGGATCTTCCTGGACCAGGGCTTGAACCCATGTCCCCTGCATTGGCAGGCAGGTTCTTAACCACTGTGCCACCAGGGAAGCCCCTATGCCTTTACTCTTGACCACTGTGTCTTCACTCTACTTTGCTCTGCCTCAGGACTACATGAGAGGCTCCTGACTTTCAGACATGTGTGTTACTGCTTCCTCATGCCTGATCCTGAGCCCTGTCTCTGAAAGGTTAGGTATTAGGGAATTGATTAGTTACAGTTTCATATAAATTTTAAATTTTGGGCCAGACCTATCCTAAGCAACTGTTTATCCTATAGAATCTCCTTTTGCCTCAAGCACTGATCCTCCGGCTTTACCACTGCAAATAAGAGCAATAGGCTATTTTGCTTACTTATAATAATAACTTGTAACATTTCCTGAGCACTTGCTGCATGCTAGGTATTTTCTAAACCTTTTACATGTATTCATTCATTTTATCCTTACAACAACCCTATGAAGTAGGTTCTATTATTAACTCCATTTTACAAATTGGAAACCAAGGCATAGGGAGGCTGATAAACTTGTCCAAAGGTTACATAGTTTATAAATAAGGTTTTCAGGATTTGAACCCAGGCAGTCTGACCTCTCAGATCCCAAGCTTTCCATTTTAAGTTAGACGCTATAGCTTGCTTACTAAAATTAAGTAGGTCATTAAAAGAACCAGGCTTTACTTAGAAATTATTCTAAGCAATTCAGAACAGTGCCCTCATCTCTAGACATGAAGGTTTCATGCTGCTGGAGCAGGAAAATAACGTGTCACCGTTCTGTAGGAAATAAGCTAAGTCTCATGATTTAAATATTTATTACTGGAATTACTGTATTTCACTGGAAGAAATTCAAGATTAAGTTCTCCAGATTCTCCATGTGTATCAGAAATATTTTAGGTGCCTGTTGGTTCACAATTTCTTCAGGCCCACTCATTCACCTGTCCAGATATAGCTGACTTGATCTGGGTAGGACTTAAGAGGAATGGCGCCTCCGTTATTGGCCAGTAACCAGAAACTTTTATCTTTAATTGAAAATATGAGCAGACTAGTAAAATCAAGAAATGGAAGCTGCCAGTGAGCTGAGGCCATTATACACAGGTGCTAGCTGTGAGACAAGAAAATTTCTACTTTGTCATTTTATGTTCCTGAAGCCTGTTCACTCCAGAATATTGAATATACTACTCAGTCTCTGCCTGCCCTCTCCTTTTTTTTTTTTTTTTTTTTTTTTTTGCGGTACGCGGGCCTCTCACTGTTGTGGCCTCTCCCGTTGCAGAGCACAGGCTCCGGACGTGCAGGCTCAGCGGCCATGGCTCACGGGCCCAGCTGCTCTGCGGATGTGGGATCTTCCTGGACCGGGGCACAAGCCCGTGTCCCCTGCATTGGCAGGTGGACTCTCAACCACTGCGCCACCAGGGAAGCCCCTGCCCTCTACTTTTATTTGCACTCATCTGAAGTAGGTTTGTTCCTTGAAATCGCATGAGTCTTAATGTGTATGTCACCAGTATTGTGATTGGATACCTTTGGGAGTCTAGCTATCACCCACCCATTTAAATTTAAATTGATTTAATTTTAGTTTTTAATGTAAAATTTGACCCAGTTTTTGGGCCCTGTGTTTCCTTAGAGAGCTTTGACCATGTGTCTTATATGTCTTGGTTTGCTGAAAATTGGCACTGTCTCTTCCTTCTAGAAGTGGCCATGTTAGCTTAGTGACCCAGTATGTATGGGCCTGGGATTAAACTGGGTTTGAATCCCAGCTCCTCCACTCAGCAGTTGAGTGGCATTGGGCAAGCTGTTGGTTCAGTGTCCTCAAATGTAAAGTGATGACAGTAGTCCCTCCTTCATAGGGTTGTTACAAGAATAAAACGAGTTAATACGTGTAAAATGTTTGTAAAGCACCAACCACATAGTAAGGGCTCAAAATCAAAAACACCTTACCATTATGATGATGATGGTGATGATGGATGATATTTTTGCTGCCATGCTGCATCTGGCACTGAAGCCATTTGATGGGCTTAGGGAAATGGTTCTTAAGTTCATATTGTCAGGTGTGACTTGACTGCAGGACATTCTGATTTATTAGGTCTAAGAGAGTCCAGGAATCTATTTTCAAACCACCTCCACTCCCCCCACAACATCCCCAGCTCCCCATGATTCGGAACAAAAGATAACATAGTGTGATTCCATTTGTACGAAGTGTCCAGAATAGACAAGTGTAGAGACAGAAAGTACACTAGTGGTTGCCTGGGACTGGGAGGGTGAGGGAATGGGCAGTGACTGCAATAGATTTGGAGTTTCTTTTGGGGGTGATGAAAATGTTCTAAATTTAGATTGTGGCGATGGTTGCACAACTGTGAATATACTAAAAATCAGTGAATTTTATACCTTGAATAAGGGACTTCTATAGTATGTGAATTATATCAATAAAGATGTTTTTTAAAATGGGAGGGGAATAGTTGAAACCAGGGGAAGGGATGCAAACTGGAAGCTTGGAAAGAGCCTTTTTAAAAAAATCCTTTTTCTTTTTATTCACTAACACAAACACATAATAATCCAGTTATCTGAAAGTTAGACTTCTGGGAACTTCACCTCCTGGGAAACTGCCCTGTAAAGGAAATAAGTTTAAAAGAGAAAAAGAAAGCCTTTTGAGTTCAGAAAACATCTGTACTAACGCCAGGGACAGGAATCATTCAAAAGTAATGAATGGTGCTGGAGAAAAGCCTCAAAATAAATTCATCTAAAATAGAGACCAAAAAATTCATAGTAAAAGTTTCTAAATGAATTTTTATATTTGACAGATTTTAGGTTATAATTCCAACTGAGCTAATTCTTAGAATAAATAACCAGTTGGTGTTTTTTCCCCTTGGTGTAGGCATGGCATGGATTTATAGGTAAAATAGGGGTGGTAGGCGAGCACAATAAGATATCCTTTACTTACTGTCTGACTCACAACAAAAAAATAAGTCAGTTTTGTAAAAATAATTACAGACTTAATCATTTCTCTGAATGGCCTTAGTCATTTAGTGTTTAAATCATTCTTTATTTGAAGCACATGTCATTACCCTGTAGCTTTTCTCTTTGGTTATTAACTGGTCTGAGTCTTCTGTCACTTTTCACTGGCTTTGCTTTGATTCAGCCATCTCCAGTATCACCTTTAAAGGCTTCCTGGGAGCCTGTTTGTTTTGCAAGATTTGCAGTTTCATTTCACAGCCCATTTGCCTTGTGTTGTTGGATCATCTGTGCGAGCCTGATAGAAGCTAAGTTAATTATTAATTAGGAAGGGAGGAGTCTGGGATTAATTTTATAAAGAGACAGTTTGTTAGTAGTTGTTTTTAAATGACAGCTTTGTATCCCAGGTAACAAACATTCATGTAAGATGGGGTATCTGTATTTGTTGGAGTGCTTAATTTACTGAGGTGCTAACTCAAAACTTGTGATTCTTATTAAGTACACAGTTTATAAAAAATAAGATCATCTATTCTCAATGTATTAGAATTGGAGAGGTAGCTGGTGCAAGGTGCGGGTGAAGATTAGGGGTTAGGCGGCACTGCCTGATGTTGAGGGAAGGGAACTGATTTGCTATATATAATAATGCATACAATAATTATATTTTACCAGTGGGGAAACTTTGTGTCTAGAGATGCTAAGTAATTTGCTCAAAATAATACCACTATTAACTCAATTGGGCCCATCTTATTTCAAAGTCCATGTTTTTTTAAAATTATACTATCCTGTCTTTTTTTTTTTTTTTTTTTTTTGTGGTACGCGGGCCTCTCACTGTTGCGGCCTCTCCCATTGCAGAGCACAGGCTCTGGACGCGCAGGCTCAGCGGCCATGGCTCACGGGCCTAGCCGCTCCACGGCATGTGGGATCTTCCCGGACCGGGGCACGAACCTGTGTCCCCTGCATTGGCAGGCGGACTCTCAACCACTGCGCCACCAGGGAAGCCCCTCTATCCTGTCTTTTAACAAAGTTGTAGCTCTCTGGAAAAGTCTGTTCTCACCAGTTAATAATATATGTAATTTACAATTTTATATAATTTAGTCTAAAAGCATTATAGAATAAATGAGATTGATGTCAACTCTTCATCAGACCTTAATATTTTAATAACTAACACTTATATGATGCTTGTTAGTTTACAAAAGCACTTCTTTTCATCATAAATTTCATATAATTCCTGTAAAAACCTATGAAGTAATCCTTGTTTTACTAGTGGGTTTAGGCTTCAAATCTAAAAGACAGTTGCATAGAATTATGACCCCAAAACATTAGGGCCCAGCTCTTTAGCTTCCAGATATGATTTTTCTGTTATACTACACTGCTTCTTTGTAGAATGACAGAAGCCCTACAAATATGCCTTTTGTGGCAATAAAATAGCCCGGAAATCTTACCGTCCATGATGTCTGTTGGACTGGTTTACTATATCATATTTAAATGATGTGTTTTAATGAAATTCTAAAATTTGGTATGGTAGAACTATATACCTTAACATTAATTTCTGTGGATTTGGTAACAATGTCTATCCTTTTACTTCTTAATAGTTAATGATATATGTTGAAGTAGATTGGTTTATAATGGAAATCTATGTATAATCTAATTTTTTTTAATCTAGTCTCTATAGAAGCTGGAATCCATCAATCTCCGTTCTTCAAAATGCAATGGAACGTACCAAAGACTGTATTCCGACTGGCACATAGGACATGCATGGAACCAGATAAAGCTGGTCTTTGGGGACACTGTCAAAACATGAAGGGACCATTACTTTTGTATACCTCAGAATCCAGAGTGGTTTGGGTACAGGGCCCTCAGAAACGATGGCTGCACTTACCTGCTGCCCAGTGTGTTGCAAAGGAAAGGAAGCCATTCATTGCTCACCCACCCCAACCAGGGATCCTTCATAAACAGTGGGAGCAGGATACCTTATCCAAGAGGGTTCTGTCATCCAGTGCTACATCCCCAGGAACTCCCTCTGAAAAAAAGGAAGAACCTGATCCTTTACAAGACAGATCAATTAGTCTTTATCAACGATTTAAGAAAACATTTAGACAATATGGAAAAGTTTTGATTCCAGTGCATCTAATAACTTCTGGTGTTTGGTTTGGAACGTTTTATTATGCAGCCATAAAGTAAGTTTTTGCTTGATTGAGCACCTTTCCCTGTTTTATCAGAATGTTACTCTTAATTGTACTAATGAAAGCCTTTAAGTAGTTTTTTAAATGCTTTAATATCTTCAATTGATAGAGGATGACTATTTTTCATAGCAGTTTTCCACATTTTAATAACAGTAGCTAACATTCGCTTACTGTGTACAGCAGGTATTATGCTAAAATTTTTATAACTGTATCATCTCATTTAATTCTCACAGCAACCGTATGAAGCAGGTAGTGCAATTATTCCCAGTTTATTAATGAGAAAACAGATTAAGCAAGAATAAGTCAAAATAACTTAGTTTTTCCCAAAATAACTCGGAGTCTGATTTCAAGCCTTAATCACTATGCTTGTGTCCCATCAACATATAGGATAGCACAGGAATAAAATTAGTTTCCAGAGATTTGGCAGCAGCGTGAGTTCTGTACTTAAATGTTTCTTACAGTGTTTATCAACGTGAAAAGATAACTTATTTTGCCATGTGTATGGTTTTGGTTGGAAATTAGTAAGATTTTGCAAAGCCTGGCTTGTATCTGTTGTAGACACAAAAATGAACAAATTGCAGACTTATGCTTTAATGTTACATCTGATGAATGTCAAGGTAAGGTCTTCTGTTCTGATCAGAAGTTGATTTGTTGTCCGCTTAAAATCTTGTTAAGAGGGTATATCTCGTGTTAGGTATTTTTTACTACAATAAAGTAAATGTTTTTTTAAAAGTTAATTTAGTGGTCCTAGCCTCTGGGTATTATAAAACATAGAATTTCTAAATGTACCTTTCTTGTTAATTACTGTTCCTTTCTTTTAAAGTGAGTTGTATCATTCACAGTGTTTTAGGAGCAGGAGTACACGTAGAAACAGATTATCAATGATTACCAGTTTCTTTCTGCCACCAGCAGAACTGAGTGTGCCAGCGTGTGCCTGTCCCGAGTGCTGTGTGGCTTTTCTTCCTGTGGCCTGGGTGTGACCTATGAACAGTATGCTCACCATCCTGCAGGCAATGAGATGCACAGTGAAGACCACTTTGATGTTTTTGTAAACTCCTCTAATGGGTTTAGAATTATTTTATACTTTCCCAAAGTCCACTGATTTTCAGTTTTTGGTTATATTTAATGGTTTGACAGTAAGGTATTAAATATTTTAATGTAAAGCTCACTCATTGGAAAAAGCTTATCATTTATTAAATTAAAAGATGATGGAATGGAGACTATTCTTATTCTTGGGAAACATGGGATTAGAAATGTTTCTTTACAAAAGTTCTGTTGAATAAAAGGATTTTTTTTTAACCTTATATAATTGATGCTGTTCTGTTTCTTTTCATATCTTTCTATTTAGTTCTTGTTATTCAGTTATTTCCTTCTTCATTATGTATTATTATTTTCTTTAAGAATTCCTTTCTTTGCAGAGATTCTTATATGTGCATTTTATGGAATTATCTTTTTGTTTATTAATGACATTTTCTGGACATGTATAAAAATATTTATAGAAATCTTCGGAACTGCCCTTAGTTTTTTAACAGAGCCTAAAATCATGTACCATTTTGAATAAAACTTTCATAGGCGTTCAGTTCTTCTATTTAATGAATAGTTTTCTACATATTGAATTTTCTTTTTTGAGCCATTTAGGATTTTTCTGATTCGGTGTTGTGGATGACGATGAGTTTCTTCCATGTTTCTTTGCCTTTGCTAGGTTGCCTTTAATAAGCATTCAGCCTCCTGGCCTCAGGGGGAGAAATCTAAGTTTTTAATAATTGAATATGAGATTCTTATTTGGACTATTAAAAAGAGTACTTTTGTTCCTTTTACTTTTCCTTGCCTTCAGTAAAAGAGTTCTATAACCAAAAAAACAGACCTTCAAATAACCTAGTAATATTATTAGACTTAGGACGCTTTCGGTGGTGTCTGCACTGATGCAGTTGTGGTGATGTTCTGCTGTCCCCTGTGAAGTCCACCTTTCTTGGTTTTGTCCTTCCCCCTCTTTTTTCTGTGAATGCCTGTGTGTAAATGTGGTGGGACTGTCCACTTTAAAGTCGTATGCCTCATCCATCACCGCCTGCCTTTGGCTCTTTGTCAGCATGGAAATTTGGTTCCCAGACCCAGCTCTACTGCCCCACCGTGACCACTGGTCCAGTTCTGTTACAGCATCACATAGCTAAGTTATATTAGGTAGGATGTGTTGCTTTCCAGAACAGTCCCTAATGTTAAGTCCTTAATGCTTGAGAAATTGAAAGTTGATTTGTTCTAAGGGAAATGATACTTCGAAAATATTAGTTTATGTTTGAATGGCAGCGTATCTTTCACTGTGAGATGATTTTATTGTGATGTTGGAGTTGATTGTGTTAAATACAGGTTTTCAATTCAACTGACTAGAGGCTGGGTTTATTTTATTTGGTTTTAGCTGAAAAAAGTTCTCTGTTACTTGCTTGTTGCCTACTTACTATTTTTTTTTTTTTTTTTTTGCGGTACGCGGGCCTCTCACTGTTGTGGCCTCTCCGTTGCGGAGCACAGGCTCCGGACGCGCAGGCTCAGCGGCCATGGCTCACGGGCCCAGCCACTCCGCAGCATGTGGGACCTTCCCGGACCGGGGCACGAACCTGTGTCCCCTGCATCGGCAGGCGGACTCTCAACCACTGCGCCACCAGGGAAGCCCCCTACTTACTATTAAAAGAAAAGGGAAAACATAGTTTGTAACTTGAGGGACAACTAGCATTACTGCCTCTCAGCACCACAGAGCAAAATGCCATTCTGTATTTAGTTAACACAGTGATGAAGATCTCAGGCTTTTGAAACATTTTATTTCAGGGAGATCTAAATTGTGCATCCTCATAGATTTTATTTTTTTATTTATTTTTTAATTAATTTATATTTTTGGCGGCATTGGGTCTTTGTCGCTGCGCACAGGCTTTCTCTAGTTGCGGCGAGCCGGGGCTACTCTTCCTTGTGGTGAGCGGGCTTCTCATTGTGGTGGCTTCTCTTGTTGTGGAGCACGGGCTCTAGGCGCACGGGCTTCAGTAGTTGTGGCGTGTGAGCTCAGTAGTTGTGGCTTGTGGGCTCTAGAACACAGACTCAGTAGTTGTGGCTCACGGGCTTAGTTTTGGTTGGTCCGCAGCATGTGGGATCTTCCCAGGCCAGGGTTCGAACCCGTGTACCCTGCATTGGCAGGCGGATTCTTAACCACTGCACCACCAGGGAAGTCCATACATTTTATGTTAAACTAAGCTTTGTTGTTGCTTCTCTCTGGAAAAGTTGCAGAGATCTTTTATCTTCTAACAAGAAGTTCTCTGTTTGGTCAAATGAAGCTCTTTGAGGATGATTTTGTCTCTACATTTAGATGCCTTGTGTTTGGGCCTCAAATTTCTAAAGTTACAGATCCATTTTGAGGCACAGTCCTGACTGGTTTTCACTGCACTTCATCCAGACTGTGGATATACTTTTGCATCATTTGGAACATCCATAAAGCTGGTGGTTTGTGAAGCACAGGTTTCTGTCAGGCTGAGGGAACTTTTGTGACAAGAGTGGATATTACTATTTGGATCAGACCCTCATTAATGCTTCATATTTAGTAATTCCAAAGGAAATAAAAGTTATTTTTTAAAAGTTAAGTCATCAAATCAATAGTTTAGAAAAAAGTGGGACCAGGTGGTTGCTTCTTTATTTTACACAGGATACTTGTGCAAGATATCTTGGTCATTATTGTTTGTTTTTGTGATAGTTTTTTTTTTTTTTTTGTGGTACATGGGCCTCTCACTGTTGTGGCCTCTCCCGTTGCAGAGCACAGGCTCTGGACGTGCAGGCTCAGCCGCTCCGCGGCATGTGGGATCTTCCTGGACCAGGGCACGAACCCGTGTCCCCTGCATTGGCAGGTGGACTCTCAACCACTGCGCCACCAGGGAAGCCCTATGATAGTTTTTTTTTTTAGATTTGTTATTCATTTATTTATTTATTTTTGGCTGTGTTGGGTCTTAGTTGCAGCACGTGGATCTTTGTTGAGGCATGCGGAATCTTTCATTGCGGTGCGAGTGCTCTTCGTTGTGGTGTGTGGGCTTCTCTCTATTTGTGGCCTGCGGGTTTTCTCTTTGGGTGTGGCTCGTGGGTTCCAGGGCACGTGGGCTGTGTAGTTTGTGGCACACGGGTTCCAGAGCGTGTGGGCTCTGTAGTTTGTGGCATGTGGGCTACACGTTGAGGCGCATGAGCTCAGTAGTTGTGGCACATGGGCTTAGTTGCCCCGTGGCATGTGGGGTCCTAGTTCCCTGACCAGGGATCGAACCCGCATCCCCTGCATTGTAAGGCAGATTCTTTACCACTGGACCACCAGGGAGGTCCCAGTTGTTTTTTGTGTTTTTAAATCACTCAGTTTGGTCTTATATTTAGCCACATGTTGTCTTTTTTTCCCCCCTGCATGATTGCCGTTAAATATGTAGATTTTACATACAGGGCTTAGTCTGAACTAAGAAATGATTAATGAAATAATTTGGTAATTGTACGGGTACCAGAAGAGATGATTAGCATGTTATGGTAGGATGTTATTGTACCTAGTGACTTGATTAGATCCACAGAATCGCTAAATCTTTGTAGTACTAAGTCTTGCTTCAGTGGGGTTCTGTTGTTTAAGAGATTTGAAAAGGAAATGAGGGTGGAGATAAAAGAAACTGGATTGGACTTGTAGTTGATTTTTAAATCTAACTCTTTAAAGTTTCCTTCAGTTATCTGGTTTCCTCTTGTATAGATGGCCAGTAATTCCTGGTGATGATCATCCGTATCTATTGAGATTAGTCTCTGATCTCCTAGTATTATAGTGAAATCAGAGAGGGACAACTTTTCCCCAGTTAAGTAAATTATTTTTTAATATTAAAAATAAACTAGGAGATTACTAGTACTGTAATAATAATGGATCCAGGCTGTTTCCTTTCTTAATTACAAAGAGAAAGAGTGCTTGTACAGAGGAGCAACCTGTGGACCCGACCTTAACCACAAGTCAAACTCACACAAGTCAAACACCAGGTCAAACTCACAGGACAGACTGAGTGTGTGGCTCCTGTTGTGATGCTCTGAGATGGACATAGAATCAATTCTGCAGCTTTCCTGTCTGAAAACATTTACCCCAAATTTAATCATGAGGAAACAATCAGACAAATCCAAATGAAAGGCTATTCTACCACAAAGCTGGCCTGGGAGCTTCAAAAATCTCAGCATCAAAAAAGACGTCCTGCCTTCCTCCTCAGCAAAAAGTGCTGAGCAGCGCTTCTGGAGAAGAACTGGAAGACATGACAAGATAGTGACAAGGGACTCACTGGACAATTCAGGGAATTTTTTTTTTTTTTTTTTTTTTTTTTTGCGGTACGCGGGCCTCTCCCGTTGCGGAGCACAGGCTCCAGACACGCAGGCTCAGCGGCCATGGCTTACGGGCCCAGCCGCTCCACGGCACGTGGGATCCTCCCGGACCAGGGCACGAACCCGTGTCCCCTACATCAGCAGGTGGACTCTCATCCACTGCGCCACCAGGGAAGCCCCAATTCAGGGAATTTTAACATTAAATAACGTACTTTTGTATTAACTATGTACTGTCCTACATGTTAAGTTTCCTGGCTGTGATGATTATATTATGTTTATGAAGGAGAAGCACAGAACAAGAACCTTGTGATTTGAGGTGAAGGCTCACAATGTCTGCAAAACTACAGGCAGTGAGGGAGAGAGTGGGAGAGCACGAGTGTTCCGGCGTGGCAAACTTGACACTCAGGGAAACTAAAAAGAAATTAGGGCTTACCAGTTGGATTAGAGACTTTTTCTGCCTTCTTTCCCTCCCTCCAAAAATTTGTTGCAATTCATGGTAATTGCTTCTTTACCTGCCTTTTAAGTCTGATAATAGAATAGAAGCATCTTTTTAGAATAATTGAAGTTTTCATGAAACCCATAGAATCATTTATTTTTTGCATAATACAGTAAGTGGTGTTATAATATCACTTGTTTTTATGATAATAGTATAGTTTGACATGTAATTTTAGAGGTAAAAAATCGTGGGTCTTAAACTTTGAGTTGGATCATTCTAAGGAACTAAAGATTATAAGATCAGGAGAATGATTAGAATCATTTCTGATCATTTCTCCTAGGTTACTTAATGCTATTAATTTTTCTCTGATAAATGATTCTGTTTTTCTCAGTGTGCTAATTAGGGATGTCCATGAACAGAAGCTGTGAACAGTGAGACACAGCAGGACGCTGGTGTTCATGCACATGTTGTTCCTTTAGAGTGAAATTAGAGTGCTTGGTGGTGCAGGATTGACTTTTAAACAGAATTTGGTTTTGATGTTTTCAGATAATCTTTTGAAAATATTTATCCCTAAAAGTTTATCTATATGTATATATAAATTACTTTCTGTTTCTTTCTTAGAGGAGTGAATGTCGTTCCTTTTCTAGAACTTATTGGGTTACCTGACAGCGTAGTAAACATTCTGAAAAATTCCCAGAGTGGAAATGCACTGACGGCATATGCCCTGTTTAAGGTAGGTACTGCTGTGGGTAGATGGCTCCTCACACTGAACCTCTGTAACACTCCGTGCTTGCTCCCAGGGTTGCCTTTGTAACTTAAAATACCGTGTTTCATCTCTTACATGTCTAATGATTAAAAGTAAACTAAAATTTTTAAGGGCAGGTAAAATGGTGGTTTAGGAAGAATTGCCTTAAGAATAGGTAGGTTTTTCATAACCTGCTGTGATGAGACAAAGTGAGACTTCTGAATTTCTAACGAACAGGTTGTCTCTGTGACATTTCTCCTATTGATAGTACATTAATTTTCCTTATTCAGAGATCCACATGCCACCTGACATGTTAGTGAAATTTAGCATTTATTTTACTGTTTATAATAGTTTATCTTTCTAAAAAGTAAAATAGTAAAGTTTAATCAAATTGTTTTATGTGATAAACCTTAGACTTAGTTGTTGATGTAATGTATGTTTCATTTTGGAGTTCATTGTCTTTACAGTTGTTGTCTGGATTCAGAGAATGACATCTTTGTAAATAGATAGTTTTTACACTTATGGGTCTTTATTTTGGAAGAGAAGACTCATTATTGTAAGTTGTGGAATTTAGCTATATTAATCTAATTTTTCTCAACTGACAAATTAGGTTCTATGTAGCTTTATCCTAAGAAAACAGGTAGAAGAGATTGGGAAACTAGATGTTATTTTACTACTGTTATGAAAATATTTAGAATTATGGGTTTATAGTAGTACTCAAAAATAATGTTTTATTCTGTCATCCTCATTAAAATCCTCTGAAATATTGGGAGATTTCTTATATGATAATTTTGACTAGAGGGCTAAAGCTTAATTGCTGAGTTTTTCAACATTAAAACTTATTAAATTAATAAATTATCAAGTTTTTAGTTACAGTGTATATAATTTAACCTTAATCCAACTGTCATGATGGTTGAAACCATTTCCCTAATTATAACTGTTCCTTATCCCATGCTCTCATTTCACAGTCTGTGTGTTGAGTCTTTTTTTAATGTCTGTTGTCTTTGATCATGAGCTCCTAGGAATTTAGAGTTATGTCTTCTTTCTTTGTATTTCCACTGTGCCTGTGCTGTGCTCTGGAGGCACATCAGTGCTCAGTGCCTGTTGGCCTGCTTGGAATTGAAACACAAGGTTGGCACGCAGGTGGGCTGGTGTCAGCAGGGGCTCTGCTCATGTTCCTGTGCAAGGAAAGAGGTGTGGAGGGTCCACCTGGGTGTTTGGTTTCTGTAACCTGGTTTCTCAGGTAGAGCAGCAGACACTGAGGTTTCTTGCCTCAGAATGTGATGCAGCCTGTGCTCTTAACAATTCTCCCTTTGTACCAGTTCATCTACTAGTTAGTTTGGGACCTTAAACCTCTGGTCAGTTGACATGTGTACGTGTCTCCTATATGTGTGCCATTTTACCACTTTTTGGCCTCATGGAAGTTCCTGGTTGGGATGCCAAACCCAGCATGGACTGTAAGGAGAAAGTAGCATAAAGCCTGGAAAAGCCAAAGAAAAGAGATTTGGAAGTGAAACTAAACTAAACTCAGTGAAGAATAAACATTTGGCCCGTGCTTGCCCCTCAGTTTGGTTCCGGTTTAGATGAATAGTGTGTGCAGGTCGGCAGGGTTTCTGGGGAGTGGAAACGCATGTGCCTTTGTTATAGGGAGGGTCCTGAGGCCTCCCTCTGGTTCTCAGTGAGTCTGCCCCCCAGGTTCACTAGCACATGGGTACAGAACTTTGGAGCTGCCCCTGTGAATGTTCTCTAATCCTGGGTCAGTGTCTAGGTGACAAATACGGAATGTTAGGAGGGAAAACCATATAGGATGTAACAGCCTTATGAAGCAATAAAGTAATTGATAGTTTGGTTATTAACAGGAATTTTAACGTCACACTGTTTTTGCTTTAGACAACAGTTGTAATCAGTACTGATCTGTCCATTTCATTTTCCCACAGATTGCAACGCCTGCGCGGTACACTGTGACCCTGGGGGGGACCTCCTTCACTGTGAAGTATCTGCGCAGCCGTGGCTACATGTCGACGCCACCCCCTGTGAAGGAGTATCTGCAGGACAGGATGGAGGAGACAAAGGAGCGCCTCACAGAGAAGATGGAGGAGACAAAGGACAGACTCACTGAAAAACTGCAAGAAACCAAAGGAAAGGTTTCTTTTAAGAAAAAAGTGGAATAGGGTGCCTTATATACCAGGTTATAGACAGTTCCTGCACTTTAACCCTTGGGGACTGGACAAAGGTACATGCTCTTGATTATTTTTTTGGTTAGCAGCCTAAATATAGCAGTTCTCTGAGGGTTAAAGAACTAAGATAACTTTTTAAAGTTGAACATCACTAGAAAAATCAGTGTTTTTTGAAAAGAAAAAATGAACCCAGTATAAGAATTTCATGTCAGTAGCAGCGTTAAGCAGTGGTCCATGTCTTCAGTCATCCTTGCTTTGTGTTTAGATAGCTGCTGACTCCTTGAATAGCTGGTGCGGCCCTACACAGATTTAACACTAGGTCTTCATCTTTTTTGTTATTTGAGGTTTTAACGATATTCACTTCTCAATGTGGAGACAAACTGTTATCATCAGAACTGCCTGTGAATAAGAGGATATTTAGTCTTTCTCTAAAGATAGTATATAACGGTTACATACCAGTTAAAATGTAGCCTTCATATAAAGAAAGCTGAATGAAAATTGGGTCATATATATGTAAATAAGATGTATTGGTTATATGTAAATGAAAAATTGACCCTTTAAAAATGATTTTTACCTCAAGCTTGCCATAATCAAATTTTTTAAGCAAATCTGTGCAGTCATAGCACTTTCTCACCCAGAATGTAAAACTGTTATTCCTGCATCATGTCCTCTCCAACTGATCTCTCAGAGGAAAAGGGAAAATCATCACACCTTAAGTTTATGGTGGAGATCAGATGCGCTTAGCAGTGCCTGCAGCTTGTGGTTCTCGGCAGTGCAGGTTTGGGAGGATGGGACCTGCCTGTCCCTGCCACCTGGTCTCCACCAGCCAGAGTCGGTCTTGATTCCATTATGGAGTAAAATTTTAAGATTGTAGCTGCTGTTTTCCTCTTGCATTGAAACATCCTTACTTGAGCATTTTACTTGAATTTTTTAAATAGCAAAGCTGTCATTAAAACCTGCTTGGAATGAAATTCAGTTGTTGTCAGATGTGAAAGTTGCCACAATTTGTGTGGGTGTGTTTGAGGATGTGTTTGTGTGTTTCCTTTTGCTCTAACTGCCTTTACTTCAGTTCTAACCTTTGAGTTGAAAGAGGGAATGGCCTCTTTCTAGATTGTCTTTGTTGTGAGTGATCTGATAAGGCTGCAGGCATCACTGCTGTGATGCAGGGTTTTCGTATTAAATACTGAGTTTGGCCAAATTTAGAGAATACTTTAAAGGGAAAAAGATGTTTGCATTTGATATGTCTCATCATTATATTGGCTGTGCTGTGATTGGACTCTTCTTTGTGGGGGTGGGTAGAGTGGTGAGGGGGCAAGGCTCACTCTGCCACATGCAGGCCCGATCAGGCAGGATGGTTTGTCTCCTGATACAGATCAAACGTGTGATTTCAAATTGACAGCACATTTTCAAATTCAAAAACAGTGAACATGTTTTAGCTTGTTTATTAAATAATTCACATTTTTGCATATATTAAATGCTAAGATGGATATTAACAAATTCCTTGTTTGTTTATTTTTAACCACTGAGACTGCTCGGTTTAAAATCATGTGTTATATGAAACTTTCTTTTTACTTTTCACGTTGCATAGGGCGTGTTTTCCAATGAGGATAAATTGTGGGTCTTAGAAGCACTAATAACCCTGAGTTTCCACCTTTGGTTCAGCCTGTTTGAGATTTGTTGCCATCCAGTTTCATAATTGTGTTGTGTTTGTCCAGTTACAGAAAGTGAGATAATAGGGAGTGCTTTGAAATTCTCTAGTAAAACATTCTCTTAAGGTGTAAGAAGTTCTTTTGTCATTATTTGGTATCAGGAATATCTGATCTTGTCAAATGCTGCTGCTCTCATCTTGCTAACCTAGTCCTTAAGGGAAGCTACAAAGAGCCGAAAGGGGGACCCCTGAAATATGCATGTGGAGTATTCGTAGCAGGCCAACAGCACATAGTGGGCATTGAGTTAAATTATCCGGGTGTGTGTGTGTGGTAAATATCATAACCATTTCATTTACAATAAGCCTTATACTTGCTGTGTCTGGTGTGCACATCTGTATTTAAGTAGGATTTTTGACAGGGTAAAGAGGGAGCCATGGCTGAGATTTAATTTAACACCTATAAAAATAGATAAAAAGTGTTTGCTCAGCAAATTAACAATTGAAATGAAAAATAGATTAGGTAAAAAAAGACTTAGTTTATTCAAGAAAAATAGCAAAACCAACCTTTTAAAGTACCACAAAAATGTCTCTTACTGAACCAACATTTTGCATACAGTAGGGTGCTATTTGCAGATTCCAACAAAGGAGAAAGAGTTCATGTATTAAGGTCACCTTCCTGCCACTAGTAAAAATAATAAAACTATGCCTTCAAATATAATCTTCAGCTTATTTGTTATAGAATCTGCCTTCCATTTATTTACAGATGGAAGACGTTACTGTAGTCCTTTATGCTCTAGGAAGCAATGGAGCTATTGGCTGTCTTATTTCAGTGACCTCAGAAGGTAATTCCAGGAATTTTATAAACATCTTAACAGTTTGGGCAGAAGAGATGTTTGAAGAAAAGAAGCAAGTTGTACGTTAGACATATCTAGCTCTTTTTTGTGTTCTTTCCACTTGGTTCATCTTCAGGATTTCTTATCCAAATTCAGATGTTCTGAACAAAGCCACTGTAGAAGATTGTAGAGTATGGTGATGGTAATGAAATGGACAGAAAATGCTTTAGCAAATGAGTCAGAAAGAGTACATGCATCTTTCCTGATACCTTTGAGATGATACCATTTTTATAAAATGCATTGGTGAGATATACATTTCTGAATTATTAAAGGATTCTGTCTGAAAAATACTTGCTTTCATGGTAATATAGACATATTTCTTCTGTTGGCTACATCTTACTTTTTAAAATGGGGACCTTCATTTATTTCAGATTTTCAAAATTGAATCTCCATAGGGAAGATATGGAGTTAGTTTAGAAGAAAGTAAATACATTTAGATTAAGTGTTACCAACATTGGTTTGAAGTGGTTTTTGGTATTAGATGCTTACTCAGTTGGCTTTTCCCGAGCCATGGTCTACGGTGCGTCCAGTCACGTTGGCCTAGAGGCCGGAGTTGCACAGGAGTGTTCATAAAAAGTATGGGCCTCTCTACTGCCTTGGAATTTAACCACCTGAACCAGAAATCTGCAGAACCAGAGGTGGGTGCTTTTAATTATTCATTCTGCAAATAGGAGCTTTGTTTGGTCTCTCCTGGTCCATCTGTATATTACGGAGTACCCAAAAGATTCTGCCTCCTTGACCCAAAGGAACAATAGAGGCAAGAATTCTCCTTCTCTTAGAGACTTGGCCAGAATTCGTCTTCAGCCATGAATTTTGGCCTGGCTTTCTGATTCTTGAAAGATATTTGTCCTGCATTTTGAGCTTGTAACTTACATTTGAGAAATGCTAAGTTTGTGCCGATTGGGTATACTTTTCCCTCTTTGAGATTTTTTTCCTTTGTGACTTCCATGTCAAGCTGGTTCATTTTAACTCATTAAAACAAGTTTTTGGTTGTCTTGCTTCTTCAGGGTTAGGCTTTGAAAATCAAGCTGTATTCTTCCCCATAAATCGCTGGCAGCCACCAACAGTAATGATGACAGATCATAATTGTCTTGTGGCAGTTATCTGGCTATTTTGATAAGAATGATTCTCTCAGCAGAGAGAATGCGGCTTGACTTCAGAAGCCTTCAAGGCAGAGTATGACATTATTCCGTTGACTTGGACAGTGCTCGTGGGAAGTGCACAGGCAGCCCCAAAGTCCTCCTCAGCACTTGTGTTTTCTCTCTACAAGTAAGAGGGCTCATGGAGCCTGAGACGAACAGAAAGCGCATTCACGTTGTGTTTTCTCTGGGACAGCATGGTCCATAAGAGCAGAAGTTGTAGGACAGGTCAGAGATGTTCCATGTGTAGCCACAATATATTCTCATTCTTCCTGACTGTGAGGAATGCATAGAACCTTTCTTCCTTCTTTCCTCACCTCTCCCTCCCTCCCTATGTCCAGCTTTTTCTGCTTTGAATTTTGACCATTTTAAATGGTAGAAAACTCTCTTTGAAGTGAAAAAGAAAAAGGCGAGTTTGCATGCAAGCGTGCCTGGTTGTCCTGCGGTAGCCGGTATGTGGTTCTCCCTCCCTCTGGTGGGCAGGCGCTATGGCCCACTCCTCAGTAAGAGCGGGACAGAAAGCTTGCAGGTGTTTCCTGACTTTCTAATCAGGTACCTGCTGAAAGTCAGCCTTTTACTCCATTTGGGTAATTTCATAAGATTACTTTTAAGTGTACCATATATGAAATATATCTAATATAATCTACATGAAATCTACCTAATATAATCTAAATAGGGTAAAACAATGAGATGTTTCAGCTCCTTAACACTAATTGAGGGTTTGTTTGTATTTAAAAAAAAGAACATACAGCATTTCCTCTATATACACAAATATTAAGCTGTTATTTTGTATGCACCTCTAAGTATGAGATTTGAGATTCTGTAATGATTTGAAGCGCATTTTGACTAATTTGTATTTTATTGAATTTGAGTCAGTATTTTCTTTGGATACAGTCTTGCGACTTAATTATGGCTGTTGCTTTACTTCTTTAAGAATAGTGGCTGTTTGGGTTCTCTCTTTGCAAGGGTCCCAAAGGCACAGTTTGTCCAGTCCTCAAACACTGACTGCCCTGCCATTCACCTTGGTCTGGAGGTAGAGTTACAGGGCTTGGTTGCCATCGTGCTCCATCACCATGTGCTTGTTATTCCCCTCCTGAAGAAGATGGAAGATACTGGTAGGTTGTAATTGCATTCCTCACTTCTTTTGGTTTGGAAATAAGGGACAAGTTTTACTTTCCAAAAAAAGTTGAAAATATTATTATCAGTAAAACGCTTGTCCACAAAACCTAATGCAACTTCTGTTGAGAAATGTAGATCATTTTGTAACTGCATTATTTTGGAAGCATTTTAGATTAATAGAAGTTTTCTCAGTCATAAACCCAATTTTCCCTCTAGTGGGTCACTTCAGAATGTTGAGGCCAGTAGCTGTAGTTGAAGAAAGGCGCAGGAGAGCCGAGTCAGACGTTCAAATCCAGGAACTGAGAAAGGTAAAGTAAGTACCTGCTTTGGAACTTGTAAAATTCTTTGTATTTTTGGAGCTGAAGCCAATTTATGAATATTCCTAATCCTCTGTCCTCTTCTGGTGATTTCTATCATCTTTTCCCTTTTAACTTCATAATTTTCTTTTTTAAAATAAATTTTTATTTGTTTGTTTTGGCTGCGTTGGGTCTTTGTTGCTGCACACGGGCTTTATCTAGTTGCTGTGAGCAGGGGCTACTCTGTTGTGGTGCTCGGGCTTCTCATTGCAGTGGCTTCTCTTGCTGCGGAGCACGGGCTCTAGGTGTGCGGGCTTCACTAGTTGTGGCTTGTGGGCTCAGTAGCTGTGGCTCACGGGCTCTAGAGCGTAGGCTCAGTAGTTGTGGTGCACGGGCTTAGTTGCTCTGTGGCATCATAATTTAATTCTTTCTTTAGAGTGATATTTCATTATCCAAAGAGGATTCAGCCTTAGAAAATACCCCATCCTCCCGTGGTAAGAAAGTGAGTTTGCTTTTCCTACTGCACTTGTGTGGAGGGTCATGGTGGTGGTCACAGCACCTGAGCCTGCATTTGCGACACTTGGAACAGCTCAGATTGGAATTTTCCTTTTCCTTGGGATCAATCGATGTAACATCTGAAGCATCAGGAGCTGGCTTTTGTGGTTACTTTTCTCACTGGGAAGTTCAGTGTATCCCCAACTAAGAACTGTTGGGCTGGCCTCTCTGGGAGTGGAGAATGTGTGTGCGGGAGGTTTACGGGAGGTTGACAGTGAGGCAAAACCATGTGCTCATGGATGGTTCCGGAAGGAAGGGAGTGTGCCAGCATTGGTGAAGAGGATGCATACGTGGTACAGGATCCCGGCACCAGGAGCCTGGGGTCCTTGCGGTTTCCTTGAGGCTGTGACAGCACTCAGATCAGTGTTAGCTCCCCCACCCCTCACAGAAAGGAAGCCAGAGAAGGAAAAAATGGGGGCAAGGTGGGAAATTATTTTTTAAAAACTATTCTCCCTTCAGATTTTCACATTTTATTGCTAAGGCTGTAAGAACACTCCCTGACACACACACAACATGGTTTTTTAACCAAAAAAACTGTCAACATCTAGAGTAATGAGAAAAGAAACAGATGTATTTTACTTAAAACCATGGTGAGGAGGTTTGGGTCCTGGTGGTTCAGTCTCTGCCTTGACACAGGTGCTCCAACCCCCTTGGCACTAACTTGGCCCGTTTCCGTCACTGGCATTTTAAGCTGCAGTGTTAGCGTAGAGAGCATGCCAAGGCAGAGTGCTATTTACAAGTCTGTAGGAATTGGGTGAACCTGGAAAGTGAAAGCTGAGCAGCACAGCTCCCTCTGTGGGGGCCGCATGTGGCAAGCATACCCTCTCCTCCAGTCTTCGCGCAGGTGACCCTGTTGTATGCGTGACATTTGAAGACATTAACCTGAGACAGAGCTAATACTTGAGGCCACCAGGTCTGTAGGCTCCAAAGCCTGTGCTGCCCTTGAACTGTAAGCAGGAAATCTCAAGCAGGACCTCAGGGTCCCCCACCGAAGCCAGGGTGGCAGACACAGCCTGGCTCAGGTGGGGCCAAGGGGATGGGTCCCTGGCCTGCCACGTGGGAGAGGCCAAAGTCAGCACTTTGATTTGAAAGCATGCTTACTCTGTCTGCTAGTGTAGACTGCTAGAATATTTTGTGCTTCCAGATTCTGGTGGTAGTACCACAGTAAACTCTATAAATGCAAATGGCTTTGTAAACAGGTTAAGTCATATAGGAGCAGTATACTATACACAAGTGTGTGTAAATGTATATATACTGCTTCCTGGTAAAGCCTTTTGAAAGTCTGTATTGCAGTTAACACCATGCTGTGTTCAAATGACTAAGACTGTAGCTTTTGATTTTTTTAAAGTAGGGTGAATGAGGTTTACATTATTAGCACAAAAGCCCAAAGTCTGGACAGACACATGCCATCAAAACAATGAAATTTACAAATGCACAGCTTTTACCTTTTGGCTGTTATTTTTAAAACATGCATTTTAATTAGAATCCATTCAAAGCAAAACGTCAAAACAGTGTAACGAGAGAAATTATGATGTTTTAAGTAACAGGCTCGTTATAAACTGTTTTGTGCAAGTGTCATCATGGAGAGTCAGAAATAAGTGTTTGTTCCAAGGCCACTGTGAGTGGCTCTCTGAAGGATTCTGGAGGTTCCTTTCGAGCACACTGCTTTTCTAGATGTCCTCGAGGGTGCAGGGAGAGGGCTGCCTGAGTTGCTAGTCCATCTACTTAGCTGTTGGCAGCTCTGCTGTTTCACAAACAATCCAATGAACAGAAGTCGGTCCAAGAAAGCCAGAGACTGGTGGGGTATGGGATCCGGTGCAGGCCCTGAAGTGCACTGGGGGTTCCCCATGTACCAGGTGGGTCAGCAGGGAGCCTATCGCCAGGGAGGGAGGTGTTGGGCTCTGTTATGTCCTGTGCTGAGTGTAGCCTGAGCAGAAAATGGTGGGTCCAGACCTTGGCGTCTCTCTCCCTGGCTGGCGGTGCCTCGGCTTTCGAGGGCCCACAGGGGCTCCTTGGCCTTTGGCACTTCAGCTCCAGCCCGATGGACAGCTCCTGGGTCACGGGCAGCCTCCAGGCCTATTGTCTGGTTTTGGCCCGGGGCTTCTTCTGAAGTCTTCAGAGCCTTCTCAGTGCACAGCCAGGGCTGCGGGAAGGGGTCCCACAGGCCCCCGACAGTGGAGATCAGTGTCTCGCCTCCTGTCCTGCAAGAGTGCAGTCTCTGGTTTCTCAGCGCCACACTGAGCCCCGCTGCCCAGATGGACACAGTGGGCCCACCCTGACCATCTCCTGCCTCCTTCAGAGCAGCTCCAAGTAACCTCCCTGCACCCAGACCCAGCCAACCAGGCGACCTCATATAGAAATGGGTTTACTGAACCCAATCCAGTAGGAATCAAGCCTGGAATCTCCTCTCCTTCTGTGACGAAAGTTTATACTGGTCTTACCTTCACTGAGGGATATAAGTTTGGGGAATATTCTTTAAAATTTCTCAAATATCTGCTGAATAAGAGATTATAGAATTTATTCAAGAGCATAATGTGGTTTATCAGTGACTATTTGCTGTTTTAATAGAAAGAAATCCTTTTCTTACAGCTATTTTCCTCCTTATAGCTTTCTAATCCCCTTTCCAAAATTGTCTTAAAAAATTAATTCAGAATCTAAAATGGGTTTTATGGGAGCTCCTTGGTGGTGGTCCAGTGGTTAGGACTTGGCGCTTTCACTGCCGTGGCCCAGGTTCAATCCCTGGTCAGGGAACTAAGATCCCACAAGCTGTGCGGTGTGGCCAAAAAAAAAAAAAAGTTTTATAACTAGAGTTTGGGGCCCATACAGTTATTTAAATGGTATTTTAAGATTTCAGTTTCCAAAGTTCATTTGTTTCCACAGTTCATTACTAACATATAGAAATGCAAAAATATTTTAATTGTATTTCCTGTAACCAAGCTAAACTCACTTATTCTAGTAGTTTGGTAGGTTGTATGAAGTGTTTTTTTTTTGTTTGTTTGTTTTGTTTTTTTTTTTCGGTACGCGGGCTCTCACTGCTGTGGCCTCTCCCGCCACGGAGCACAGGCTCCGGACGCGCAGGCTCAGCAGCCACGGCCCACGGGATCCTCCCAGACTGGGGCACGAACCCGCGTCCCCTGCATCGGCAGGCGGACCCCCAACCACTGCGCCACCAGGGAAGCCCTGTATGAAGTTTTATACATTTCACAATTATGTAATCTGTGAATCCATATACTTACTTAGAGCTTAGAGATATCATTCTAATCTCTCAGTGAAGGAAACTTAGATTCCTTTTGCTCCATCATCACGAACTGAAAACCTCTGATGCTAATGACCTTATTAGCCTCTGAGGGTGTCTGCTGAACGATTCTCTTTAGAAGTCTTGCTCACGTTTTGGGCTGAGTTGACTCAGTTTGTCTGTGACAGCTTCCAGAAGCCTGAAGGTGACACCTCAACTCAGGTGACGATCCCTGAGTGTTCTGTGTAGAACCCAGGACTGTATGATGTGATCTGCCAGGGTTTATAGCAAATATAATGATTTCTGAAAAGTCAGAGTGAATAAGAACTGAATGGGACGGTTACCTGGGGAACCATAAGAACCATTTCTGAGACGGGTTTTTAAATGCAAGTAGTTTTCCCCCCACCCCCCAACATATGCTTTGTCTGTGAAATATTTTTTTAAAAAAACAATAGACACGTGTATCAGTGATCTTTTTTTAATGATTTTGAGCTGTGGTTCGAACACAGCATTAAGAACAAGCAGAAGAGGCTGATTTCATAACACACAGCACTTAGAGCAACATCTTCCTTTAAAAGTCCGGATTGCGGTTACAGACCTTGGGTCTAAGAACTACATCCCCTCGCTCAGTTAAAGAGGCAGATACATGACAGCTGGAAATCTTTCTCTGTGTATAACTGGGAATTATGTTGAACAGTAAGCACAAATGTCTGTTTAAAAAAAAGACTTTAACAACTTCAGATTATTATAGATCACGTGAACAACTGTTGAAAAGTTCAGATAAAGTTGTACTTTTTCATTATAAAGCAGCCTAGTGAAAATTAAGTGAATTAAATGCGATGCATAGTATTGTACATATTTAAAAATAGCTTTTACACCAGAAAGTGTGATTTTTGAAAGCCATGAAATGAAGAATAGCAATATACCAGCAAGCACATTAAGATGAACCAGTATAATTAACAGTAAAGTTTAAGCCTCTATTAGTCCTGTAGAAAAGCCATGACGTGGTAACAAATTTAGTGCCTTTGAGTCCAGAACATCCTCAGATGACACTCCTGCTCAGCAATCCTCCCAAGAGATGAAGTCTGGGGGAGTTTTTCTAACAGGGAGGAGCCTCCACCCTTGACCTGAACCACCAGGGCCACTGCCATTGGCAGTGAGCAGACAGCGGGGGCAGTGGGTGCAGAAAACACAGATCCCCATCTTCTTGTGGCCTTGCAAAGCACAGTCAAAGAAGGGCTGACCTCTGGTCCATTAGCATCAAGAGTTGCAGAGGTGTTTTCAGTTTAAGGATAATCAGTAATTGTTTTGTGGAGGACAAAAGTATGACTCCGTCGTGATTCTCAAAATCAAAACATACACCACGGAACAAATAAAAAACAAGGAATTATTAGAATTTACATCCTCTGATGACAGAATAAACTGGAAATAGGGATCAGGTGGGCAGAATTTCACGAAACTGTGGATGGCACTGGGAAGGATGCCCACACCCACGATTTCATCCATTTTTTTTTTTTTTTTTTTTTTTTGGGTTCGCGGGCCTCTCACTGTTGTGGCCTCTCCCGTTGCGGAGCACAGGCTCTGGACGCGCAGGCTCAGCAGCCGTGGCTCACGGGCCCAGCTGCTCTGTGGCATGTGGGATCTTCCCGGACCGGGGCATGAACCCATGTCCCCTGCATCGGCTGGTGGACCCTCAACCACTGCACCACCAGGGAAGCCCCTCATCCATGGTTTTAATGAACATTGTGATAGGCTCTTCTTTTTTCTATTTTCAATATTAGAATATTTGAATGCAGAGGTCACCGTCAGACACTAAGAGCTGTAAGTAGATGCTGAGTCAGGGGGTGTGACGTGGTCCCTGGTCAGTGGCAAAGCCTAGTTTGTTTCTGGGGTCGTGATCACCAGGAGACACCAAAAGGAAGGGACAGGACATAAGAATTCACTCGGCTGGCTGATTGCCAGTCTGCTAATTATAACCCATAACAAATCTTTCTGAGACTGGGGTCTTCTCAAGTGGACTGGTTTGTCCTAAGTTATTTTTCCTGCAAATGCTACTGTTCATTCATTGGTTCCACAGCTTCCGTTTGTCAAAAAGGCACAGAAAGACAGATGGTCACAAATGCGTCTGGACTGCACAGTCCTCTGCTGCAGGCTGATGTGCTCACTCTGACCTAAGTTTTGCAATTTCAGTGAAAAGTGCACTCTTCACTGGGTTTGCCCTCTTCATTCTACAACATGAAACAGAATATTTTTTCATAAAGCAAGTTGAAAAATCCACATTTTTTTCTGATTATAGCTAATACTGGTCCAACTGAACATTATCGAAGGGATTAAAATAAGCATCTGGTGGCTCCAAAAGGCTGTGGTATTTTAAAAAATTATTAAGTGTTTTCACAGCAAAGATGCAACTCTGATTGCTGTACATATGTTGTTCATAGGCTGTGCTTGCTTGTTCAGACTTGTTTCCCTTGTGTCATAATACTGATATTTATTAATAAACTACATAGACTTTTATCTGTATGCATCCATTTGCACATTTCCTTATAAAAGAGGACAGAGCACATAGGCATTCACAAATTCTATGCCATTTCTCTTAAAATTGGTATCTATACCTTATATTGCAGTATTAACAAAGTTTTGTTCTACCCATTGGGTAGGATTATGTGCGTAATATAGTCAAGTTATATACAGCACCTTACAAATGAACGCCTGACAGACACTGAAAGCACCATTGTGAGTGAGGCACAACAAAGGGGGCTGGGTTCCTGCATCTGCAGAAGTTAGAACATGAAACACCTTGGCTGCTTAAAAACTACTGCCACGCTGAGCTCTATGAAAGGACGTGGATCTTCACCATCTGCATCTCTGTACAGCTCTCACCCCAGCACCTCACACACACTGAGGACAGCGCTGCTCACAAGGCATCCCTCCCTGCACACCAGCCTGAAGGCAGGAGCAGCAAGTGGCCGTCTAACCCTGGCCGTGAACATAAACTTGAACTGTGCAAGATGCAGCACTTGGGGAGTAAAATAAGCTAAAGCTGAAATCCTGATTCCTGCGGAATTCGCACAATTCACGTGAGCTACTGGGACCCACTTGTGGTCGGGGTGAGAGCAGGTCTTTCATCTGCTTTTGTTGGGCCCCTTTAGACACAGCGTCCTTACACTGGGGGGGACTTGCCAATGCATCTCCATTTCGCCAAGGCCAAGGTGACCGTGCAGAAGGGGATCCTGGTCCCTGCCTCTCCACCAAGGTGCGGGGGGGGGGGGGGGGGGCTGTCACCGCAAGGCCCTGCGCCCAGCACAACTATCTTTCCCAGTTTTTCCTTCACAGACACTGCTCAGCTCTGGAAATTTTAAGAAAAATGAACGGTACACTAACATGTTGCTGTTCTAAGCAGCAGACCTCAAGCAGCAGCCTTGGCACAGCAAACACAAGGCTTGGGGAACAGCCCCTAGCCGCTGCCTCGCAGCCAGGCCAGTGTGGGAGCCTGGTGGCCAGCAGCAAATGGAAGCTGCTTTGGAGGGGCTCGTGGACCTGGACAGTCTCTGCAAGGACTCTCTGGACAGAAGAGCAGGTGGAGGTAAGATCCAGGCCCACCTGTCAGGATGCAGCCACTGGTTCTGAGGAGGGCAGGGATCTGAATGGATTCTCCCAGATCTGAGCTGCTTTCGAAAAGTGCTTGCCTTTGAGCCCTTCTCATTCTTATGATGATAAAATACAGGTGAAGAGGGGGATAATTTGAAGCTGGAGACACGCTTATCTGAGTACAGGTCCCTATGCTGGGGTAGAAGGCCCCCTGCTTCCTGCTGGCCCCTGTGTCCTCCTCTCCCAGCTGCAATTAGTGGACTTAAGTGTCATCCTCATGACAAACCTTCCCAAGTTTTGCACATTTTCCTCTGCTGTCTGAGCTGTGTGTCCAAGTGTATTTGTGGTACGGAGGACAGAGGGTATGCTTGTCAAGCTTTTTTAACACTGAGTTTTGGTCCCAGATAGAACTTTGTGTTGGGTTGGCCAAAAAGTTGGTTCAGGTTTTTCTGTAACATGGAAAAACCTGAACGAACTTTTTGGCCAGCGCAATAAATGCACAATTTCTTCAGCAAAATCTCTTTTGTAGTAAAGGACAACCTTAGTGTCTGAGGAACACTAGGCTTGCTGAAAAAGCCAGCAGACACGAGTGTTCCTATAAGTGGGACTCAAGGTGCCTGGGGTTCATATCCAGGGAGTCGCTAAGACGATGGAGCCCAGCTCCCCACCCACTGCTCACTGATCCCCTAACCCTCTGGTTTCTAACCTGGACCCTCAGGCCCCACTGATCAAGCTGCAGCTTCACAGTCACGCCTCTTTCCACACCATGTCAGCCACAACCTTCGAAAGAGCAGATGTCTAAATTACCTTTTTCCTGTGTTGAAGGGAAATTGACTATTAATTCAATTTATGACCTTGGCTTTTAAACTAATTCATTACAGAGCCCCAGCCTCAGAGACCATTCAGGTCATGGTTTGATATGTCTGCATCATTAAATAACTATTTACATTAGAGGCAATTATCTAATAGGGTGGCCGAAAGGGAGCAGTCTCGGTTTTGAAGAACAGTTAAAGTTATTTGAATTAAATAATTGTTTTACCAGTACTGTGAACATCTGCAAAATGTTCGGGTACTTGCAAAGTGACTAAGGAATTTATAAGTTTCTGAGCATAACTCACCATTTTGAGCTAGAACTACTGGGTGTGTTCACCCACTCTACCAGAAGTGCAGGTGAGGTTTGGAATGATGACACCATCAGCCAACCTCCTCATTCTGCACCTAAGGGGAACCGCCTGACCGATAATCTGCCCGAAGATGGGGAGGACAGGCACCTTCCCACCTTCACCAGCAACACAAGGGGAAACCTCACGCCATGCAGAGTCCCAGCCTCCTTTAAGCACAGGCTTGAGGTTGAGGCCATCTGATACGGTGGGTGGGTGGGTGTCCTCTGGTCAGGCCCCCAGGACTCTGCCCGTCCCAGAGCTCCTGCCATGGCCCTCAGCGTGCACACTGCTCAACAGGGTCTGAAGCATGAGTGACAATTGTTGACCACCATCTTCTTTTAAGAGATTGACTACTTGTGTGGATGTTACTGTGTGAAATCGATGAAGATTCCAGTTCTCCAAACAAAACCCAGGGACCTACCAACCAAGAGGAGCCTCGGAAAGGAGCAGCAGAAAGCAGTTTGAGAGCTTTCTGCCAGCAGCACGAGGGCACCTCACCGGGCAGCCACCTCTGAGACCACAACAGCAGACACCCGGAACTGCAGGTCAGGGTCCCAAGTCATCCCTCCAGCCCTCGGTCCCTGCGAGAGCAGGCAGGGGCTGCACAGAAGCACCCCACCCGGGTGCAGCAAAGGCAGATGCTTCTGTGAAGGAAGTTACTTTAGGTGAGAATGAATGTTACAATTTTTAAGGTTAGTTTTCTAGTTGATTTTAGCTGCAAGTTGTGCTTTTTACCCTGTGCTCTGAGTTGCTCCCCGCCCAGTTCTGGCCTCCACTGCAGAGGCTTAGTGACCCCTGGGAGCGCATCTGGTTCTGAGCACTGCATTCCTCCCGGGTGCTGGTCCGCATACTTGGCCACATGGGTCCCTTCCTCAGTCCCAGGGGCTTCTACACAGTATCTGCAGCCAGTGTCACGCACGTAACAGGGCAGTGGGCTGCACAGAAGTGACTGCTGAGTCTTGATGACCAGCCATCCAGGCCTGAACTCCACTATGCAGGGAAGGAGAGACCGCAGGAACACTCTGAAGTCATGTGTTTCAACAGTATAAAAATAGCCACCTTGCACTTTAAACAATTTATTGCATAAAATAGTGTATTATCTGAGTATATTTCATGCTACAGTGAAAAAAATCTAAATTACCACAGAAACTGCACTGCTGGAGGGCCAGGGCAGCACTGCGTGGTGTGTAAATGCAGGTGTAAAACACGCAGCCTGAGGCTGGAGGGACTCAACACACCAGGGATGCAGGAGTTTCCTCTGCTCCATCCAGAGTCTCCAGGTGCCTCAGTGACGCATTCACTGCTGTGTGGTGACTTTCTTGGTGAATGTAAGTAAGTGGTGTACGTTAGGCTACCTCCCCTAACACCCTTTCCTGCATGATTATGGGGGAGATGATTATGGGGCCTAATTATAATCCACAGGTGAAAAGACAACATACAGAACTTTGAGTAAAGCTTCCTCATTATCTTAAACATGTAGTGCAACTTTTAAAACACAGCATCACAACACTGATTAACCCCTTGCATTCATCTGACTTCTCCACTTTATACCTTGGCACACAAAACAGGAATTTAGAATCATATTTTTAAAACAAAAGTTCCACAGTTTGGGGGTGGGAAGCAAACTGGCGATTCTTCCCCATAATGTATAATAACGTTTTCCTCTGTATTCAGTTAATTGTAAAACAGGCCATTCTGGCCTCTTCCCCTGCTGCGTCTGCTTTCATAGTCAAGTCAGATGCCTCTGTGGGTTTTATTTCATAATGTCTTCAAAGCACCCCTCTGTGTTCTCATGCCCACCCTTTGCCAAAACCTGCCCTTTCCTATCAATCACTGCCCCAGATGAACACCGTTTGCAGCCAGACTGGAGGAGGTTTGTACTATTTCAGCCTGCGTGCAGCCCCTGTGGAAGGAATCACTGTTTTACTGAACTTGTGCTGGGGACGGAGGGGCAGTGCCACTGCCTCCCTCCTCCTTTCTTAAGTCAGGTATGCACGCAGGTCAGATGAGGTTCCCGGGCTTCCTGTCCTTGCCCTGGACGGGCAGCTCGGTGCCCCCCAGGGCCGTCCCGCTGGAGTGGCAGTCTGCTCCCCCTGTGCGTGCTGTGCTGGGGGTGGAAGAGAGTGGCACCCAGGCAGTGGCCCATCACCTCGCTGTAGGCCGGGGGTGGCCCCTCCATCCTCCTGTTACTGCTGCAGGTGCTGGCACTTATGCCTGAATTGCTGCTGGGTGGGCGTGGGCCCCTGCTGTAGACGGACACGTCTATCAAATCGCTGTCAAATATGGTTCGGTTGGGTGGGGCCCTCACAGACTCTCGGTTGAGTTCCATCTGCTGTTCAGGGTCCCGGAGCTGCAGGGTGCAGGGCCCCTGGTAAGGAGGCGGCTCCTCCCCGTCCGACAGGGAGATGGTGGGGGGAAGGTCGATCTCGTGCTGTACATAGGGGTAGGTGGGCTGGAAGCGGCTGAACCGATCCCTCTGGAGAAAGGTTGGGGCAGTCCCCCCGTTCCTGGACCGCGGTGCGTACATGATCTGCAGGGAGAAGAGCAACACCTGGGAGATGTTCTTGGCACAGTGATGACCACGGACGTGATGGCAGCAAGGAAATTCACGTCTGTTCTCACCCATCTGAAAACTTTTCCCCCCAAAAAACATGTAAAGGCTATTCCAGAAAAACAGAGGTTTTTCGTTCCTAATGACTTTACATCACTCACCTTGCCAAACCCAGGACGGTTCAGCAACGGATAATTGCGGTTACCTGAAAATGTAGGTTTAATGGAGTTATTGTGTACATTTCCCACTGGTCAAGGAGAATACAGGAGCCCCCCACCCCCACCCCGGCCTGCCCACCATGTGACCTTCTTCAGACCCCACTCCTGTGATTCAGAGGAATATAGAGGGTGAAGAATTTTCATTGTAAATGTAAGTTGTAACTTCACAGGATGGTACTTGGAGCAGGTACAAGACATTGGGTCAATTTATGAGTTATTTATAGGAGCTTGTTGCCCTATCAATTACTTAAAAATATGAAACAAGTGACTTTTTTTCTTTCTGGATAAAAGTTTCCTGTAGTTATTTTTAGCAGCTGACATGAAAACTATTTTATATTCCAAAGTAAGTATGATTATAGACTTTTTCCCCCCGAAAGAATCCAGGTACTCTCTTGCATAGCTTCTCATCTATTCCACCATCTCACTTTCTTCTAGAGGAAGGACATATGTATATAAAGATATACATCCATCTGTCAACTTCTCTCACACCATGTTTTTAACTTAAAGGCAAAAAACGTTATTTTTACAATCATACTATTAAACTGGGAGATGGGGTGAATCGAGCGGTGATGTTTATAAGCTACACCGACAGCCACCACCTCATTATCAGCAGCCTAAGGCATCAAGTGAAGGTCCTGGATTCTCGACTGTTTTCTGGAAGGAGCTCTGGCCAGGCACAAAGAATCCTTGGGAGAGTCTAGGGAAGACCCCTCCCCCACCTCTTAAACCAAGTTACAGGCACAGGCCTTGATCTTCATCTGTGCTGACACGTTCAACCCTTCCACCAATTTTGTTCATCCCCCTCTACGCATCTCCTGCCACCCACACCCCGCCTGTGTCCAACCCCTTACCTCTGAGGTGGGCCGAGGTCCAGATCTGTCTGAAGGCCACAGGCGCCCTTCCTGGTTGGGGGGTGGGGGACATCACAGGAAGATCATTAGTTTCATGCAACAGCACCCAAAGCCAAGGGATCACACTCAGCTGAGCGCAGGCTGTGTAACACCCGGAACCACAAAGTCCCAGCCTTTTGTTACCTGCACCCCCAGAGGAGTCGTGGCCACAGGAAAGTCAAACAGTTCGGGTCTCCCCACAGTAGCCTTGAATGGTGTGCCCATCTACACCGCTGGCTTTCAGACTGAGTTTCCCAAACCTAAGAGCCCTCTGTGCATCTTCTTATGAATTGATTCCTCAGTACAAATGCTCACAAGGAGTGTGGAACCTGACATCTAATTGCTTAGTAATCTTTCAAAAAATGTTTGGCCAGGGACTTTCCTGGCAGTGCAGTGGTTAAGACTCCATGCTCCCATTACAGGGGGCCTGGGTTCAATGCCTGGTCAGGGAACTAGATCCCACATGCATGCCACAGCTAAGAGTTCGCATGCTGCAACTAAGGAGCTGACGAGCCACAACTAAGGCCCAGCGCAACCAAAAAGAAAAAAAAGACCAGCAAGGTGATGAGCAAACAGCAGGCATGATTAAGGATCACTTCTAACACCATAAACTTGTCTACAGAGCATTTCAGTGTGGTATCCCTTTTGAACCCCAATTGTAGGCTATAGCAGGGTCTGCGGGGCTTTTGTGACTACTAAGAGAAGAACGGGGTGGTGGGTAGAGAAGTGCCTGTATTTTTGGATTCCCAGGAATGTGCACATACGACCTCCTGCCATCATGGCTTCCTGTGACCTGAAAGTGCCCACCGGTGGACTTGGGAGGTCAAACAGCCCCAGGTCTTAAGAAGTGAAAGCGACCTCCCCTGATCCTTGCAGGCGGGCATCCACCACGGCCCCCCTCGCCGTGAGCAGGTGGCATCCCTAGATCTGACTATACAACTATGTAACGGCGACAGAGTGGCTCTAACCAGGTGTCCGAGCCCTAGGCAGTGCTCCTTTGCGTCAAGGGCGATGTCACTCCCGCGTTGAGAACAGCACAGAGCATCCTCCACTGTTCCTAAGAATTCCACCCTTGGCAACAGCAGATTAAAGCACAGGGCGTGGCCTGACAACCAGATGTCACAGCACCAAATGAAGTGGGCAGGAAGGGACCCAGAAGAGGGGTAGTAGCATGTTTTCTGAAAATGGCAATAACTATTCTCAATGGCTTTATTTTCCTAGAAGTTAGCAAAACTGGAAAAGTGCCTAAAAGAGATCCACACCAAGCCTTGCACAGGTGGAATGTTGTGGTTCTGCAGGGACCCCCTCCTCTCCAGGGGCCATCGTCACGGGACGGGTCTGCACCACCACAGCCTCCGCAGGGCACGCACCTGCTCCTCGGCCGCTGCCCCTGCTGCTCACTCAGCTGCTCGCTGGCGGCTGCCTTGAGCTCAGGCTTCACAGGGGAGGCCATGAGGTTGGCCTCTTCTGGTGTACCAGAAACAGCCCTGCGAGACCAGGGCCCAGCCGCCCAGCCACCCTTCGCGGGAAGCCGGGTCCTCTGACCACGACGGAATAAGCTGGGAAATAAGATAGCAGCTCACAGAGTTTTGAGCAACAGGAACAAAATCTTGCTAGTATCGCTATTGCGGACCCATACACACTGCGTCTTTCGTAGCTGTTTGCTTGTGAGAACTGTTCCCTCATGCCGCATTGCGTCCACAGAGCACCTCCGGCGCCCTTGCGTCCCTGGTGGCCCTGAAGACGCCTCTGTGGGTGCCCCAGGGAGCATGGCCACCAAGATCCAGGCCCACGAAAGCCTTGGGCCATCCTGAGGGGCTCTAGTGAATCTGCATCTTCTGAAAAGGGACACAGGACAACTCCGGATCTCACAGGCTTGAAGATGTGCATTTTCAGGTTCCTTTACCCTCAAGGAATCTGCATTGTATTTTTCCCCTTCTGAATGGTAAACAGCCACGTGGCCAGAAAATTTTCCCATAAGTTGAATCTGCCTGACACTAAAACGTCTGCATTAAAGATAAAAAAATCACGTGCTCTTCCAAGTGCTTGTCTTTATGATCCCAACGATCCAGATGTGTCGTCTGCAGACCTGGAACACAATGACTGGAGTTTTTCCTTTTAAATCTGTTTGGCACTTTGGCTGGGTGGTGAGTGGAAAATCAAAATTGTCTTCTCTCAAGTTGTGGTAAATTATACATAACATTTACTATTTTAATCATTTGAAAGCATACAGTTCTGTGGCATTAAGTATATCCTTGTTGCCACGCACCCATCACCCCCATCCATCTCCAGAATTTGTCTTCTTCCCAAACTGAAAACGCTGTACTCACTGAACACTAACACCCCATTCCTTCCTCCCCTCATCCCCTGGTGACCACCATTCTACCTTCTGTCTCTATGAATCTGACTATTCTAGGAACCTTGTCTAAGTGGAATCATACAATACTGTCCTTATTTCACTGAGCATAATATCTTTAAGATTCATCCATGTTGCAGCCTATGTCAGCATCTCATTCCCTTTTAAGGCTAATATACTCCATTTCAGGTACATACCATATTTTGTTATTCATAGTTATCTTGGTGGTTTCCCCTTTTTGGCTATCATGAATAATGCTGCTATGAACAGGGGTGTATAAATATCTCTTTGAATCTCTGCTTTTCATTCTTTTGAGGATACACCCAGAAGTAGAATTTCTGGATCATACGGTAATTCTATGTTTAATTTGGGGTGGGGGGGAACCACTACTGTTTTCCATAGCAGTGGTACCATTTCGGTTGTAATTTCATCACATCCTTGCCAACACTGGTTATTTTCTGGTTTTTTGCTAATAGTCACTCCAGTGGGTGTGATGTGGCATCTCACTATGGTTTTTTTAAAAAATTAATTTTTGGCTGAGTTGGGTCTTTGTTGCTAAGCGCGGGCTTTCTCTAGTTGTGGCGGGCGGGGGCTACTCTTCGTTGCGGTTTGCGGGCTTCTCACTGTGGTGGCTTCTCTTGTGGAGCATGGGCTCTAAGCACGTGGGCTTCAGTAGTTGTGGCTCACGGGCTCCTGAGTGCAGGCTGAGTAGTTGTGGTGGACGGGCTTAGTTGCTCCGTGGCATGTGGGATCTTCCCGGCCCAGGGCTCGAACCCGTGTCCCCTGCATTGGCAGGTGGATTCTTAACCACGGTGCCACCAGGGAAGCCCCTCTCACTATGGTTTTGATTTGTGTATGATTAGTGTATTAAGTCAGGGTTCTCCAGAGAAACAGAACCAATAGGAGATTGATTGATTGATTATAGGAATTGGCTGCCTGTTTCTGGAGGCAGAGAAGTCCCACAATCTGCTCTGCGCAAGATGGAGACCCAGAAAAGCCAGTGGTATAATTCAGTCCAAATATGAAGGGCTGAGAACTGTGGGAGGGGTGTCCACTGGTATGTCTTGGACTCTGAAGACCCAAAAACCAGGAGCTCTGATGTCCAAAGGCAGGAGAAAATCGACATCCCAGCTCAAGAAAAGAGAGAAAGAACTTGCCCTTCCTCCATTTTTTTTTTTTTTTTACTCAGGCCCTCAAGGGGTTGGATCATGCTCACCCACATTGGTGAGGGCAGATTTTCTTCACTCCGTCTACTGAGTCAAATGGTAATCTCTTCCGGAATTACTCCCATAGACACATTGCTTAGCTCAGTCAAGTTGACACATAAAATTAACCATCACAATTAGTGATCTGAGCTCTTCTGTATTGGCCATCTGTATATCTTCCTTGGAGAAATACCTACTCAGGTCCTTTGCCTATTTTAAAATTAGGTTCACTTATTTTGTTGCTGAGTTGTAAATGTTCTTTATATTTTTTGGATATTAATCCCTTATCAGATACCTGATTTGCAAATATTTTCTCCCATTCTATGAGTTGCCTTTTCACTCTCTTGATAGTGTCCTTTGACAAGTTTAAGTTTTTAATTTTTGAAGTCCAATTTACCTATTTTTTTCTTTGGTTGCTTGTGCTTTTAGTTTCAGATCCAAGATATCATTGCCAAATCCAATGTCATGAATCTTTTGCCCTGTTGTTTAAGAGTTTAATGGTTTTAGTTCTTACATTTAGGTTTTGATACATTTTGAATTAATTTTTTGTATATGGTAGCAGATAAGGGTTCAATGTCATTATTTTGTAGTGAATATCCAGTTTTCCCAACACCATTTTTTAAAAGACTGTCCTTTTTCCTTGAATGGTCTTGGCACCCTTGTTGAAAATCATTTGACCATACATCGGAGAGTTTATTTCTGGGCTCTCTATTCTATCCTGTTGGTCTAAATGTTTGTCTTTATGCTGACACCACACTGTTTTGTTATTGTAGCTTTGTAGTAAATTTTGAAATCAAGACGTGTGAAACTTCCAACTTTGTTATTCTTTTTCAATATTATTTTGGCTGTAGGTGGGGATGGGGGTTCCTTGTGATAGCACATGAATTTTAGGATGGGCTTTTCTATTTCTGCAGAAAAACATCATTGGGATTTTGACAGGGATTACACTGATTTTGTAGATTGCTTTGGGTAGTACTGACATCTTAACAGGATCAAGTCTTCAGGTCCATGAACACAAGATGTCTTCCATTTATTTGTGTCTAATTTCTTTCAGCAACGCTGTATAGTTGTCAGTGTACAAACCCTTCATATCCTTGGTTAAGTTTACTCCTAAGTATTTTATTCTATTTGATACTATTGTAAATTGAACTGTTTTCTTAATTTCTTTTTGGATTGATCATTGTAAGTGTAAAGAAATGCAACTGATTTTAGGGGGCTGACTTTGTGTCCTGCAACTTTGCTGAATTTATTAGTTCTAGTGGAGCTTTTTGTTTATTAGTTAATTGGAATGTTTAGGATTTTCTACACATAAGATCATGTCATCTACAAAGAGAGATAATTTTACTTTTTTTCCTTTCTAACAGAATACCTTTTCTTGCCTTGTTGCTCTAGTTAAAACTTATAATAAATACTATGTTAGATAGAAGTGGTGAAAGCATGCCTGCATCCTT